TAAATTCACGGTCGAAGAGCCAAATGAGGAGGGTTTTGTTCCGTTTCTCAACACCAAAGTTCGCATCAACGAAGGAGAGAAGGAACTTCAATGGTACAAGAAACCTGCATCTAGGAATATACTTTTACATGCTAGAAGTTGCCACCCCATCTACATGAAGGCCAACGTCGTCCGCAATCTGATTTCAACCAAGGATAAAGTCTGCAGTCAGCCTTCAAGTGAAGTAGACATAATGGTGGAACGTATTTTGAGAGAAAACGGATATTCCAATGCGAACTTGCAATCATGGAGACCGTACTCCACACCTGATGGGATCACCATGATAATGCCGTATGTTAACGAAAAAACAGCATGGAAGGTCAACAATGTCGTAAGGAATTCCTCGCTCCCAGTACGACTTGTGTTCCGCCCACCCCCGAACTTGAAGCGACTGCTGACATACTCCAGACCTTACGAGGATAAATGTGGGAGGAATGGTTGCATCTACTGTAAGGACGACAAAATATGCCAACTAAGAGGTACAGTTTATGCAATAGAATGCCAAGGATGTGGGCATAAGTATGTTGGAGAAACAAGAAGACCTCTCCACAAACGACTCGATGAACATCGGAGGGCTCTACAAAATCCGGCCTCATATCCAGGTAACAGTTTCTCCAAACATAGAACCCAACAACATGCCCAAGGGGATCCACCCACCCTCAACGTAAAAGTCCTACACCGTTCCGTTGAAAACACAGTGGAACGCAAAATACTGGAGGCTCTGGAAATAAAAAGACTAGCCCCGGAAATAAATAGCAGAGACGAGTTGCGTGACTCTCTTCAACTCATCGCATGACTACAGTTCGCCATGGTGGACTTGTCAAACGTGCAATGAATGCGCATTTGAGAATAACGGATCGTCCCTTAAAACTTTTAAGGCGTAATTCCTTAGGTAGTGAACTATTTCTGCTCTCAGAACCAAAAAGGTGGTAAGTGTCTCAGTATACTTTCAAGAGTGGACAGTGAGGTTGGGTCAGTTCTAATTGTTAAGATATATTTTAATATATTAACAGACTTTAAGGCTTATAATCTTTCATTTCAGGCTCGACAAAGGCGCAAAGCGCCGAAAGCTTGCCAAAAATACCTAAACTTTTGCAAAACTTTTGCAAACACACATTTTTGTCTTTTTCTTGTGAATTACTTTTTTACTTTGAGATGAGTTCGAGTAAAGCATGCACACCCAATGAGCCCTTCAGGAACGTCGTGCTGTCATACCATATAACTTCTCGAGGAACGCGATCAAAAGCCTTCTCCAGGTCCAGGAAGGCAAGATGCACAGCTTTTCTTTTCTCGCGATGTCTTTCCAACAGAAGGCGGGCGGCATGTATTGCATCGATGGTGCCGCAGCCTGACACAAATCCACACTGGTTGATGGAAAGCTGCACGATGTCACGAATACGGCCGTCCACAATTCGCTCAAAGATCTTCATGCTGTGCGAGAGCAGGCGGATTGGACGGTAACTCGTACAGTTAGCAGGGCTGCCTTTCTTCTTCCAATGATCGTTGTTGCTCATGCTGCTGCCAACTCTCTATTCTCTGCACAGGACCTTGCACTGGCGGACATAAGGGACTGCTGGATGAGCAAATTCTACGGCTGAGATGTTCTCGAAGTAATCATGCCATCGCTTCACTGCTTTCTTGCGGTCCGTCAGGAGGTGACCATTTTCGTCGTTGATGCCGAAAAACTTCTCGATGTCCTCGGACTGGCGATGGCGGGCTTTGGCGAGACGATAAACATAGCGTTCACCATCGCGCGTCTCGAGCTTCTCGCTAACATCAGCAAAGTGGGCAGCTTTTGCGGCAGCAACGGCCTTCTTTGTCGCATTCTTAGCCGCCTGGTATGAAACGCTAAAGCAGAACTGGTGCTAGATCAAATTTGCCGACTTCATTGGCTCCAACTAGTAATGGAACAATTCTCTGCATTTGATTTCGATAGATTACATTCTGGTTGGATTTGTCTTGTTAGTTTCGGAAGCGAAGGATCGCTCGAAACTTCACCTTTTTGTACAGTCAATAAGGAACGCTGTGCTTAGAAGTTGTACCAGCTCAACGCATCATTTCATGCCAGCGGAAGGATTTTCATATAATTTAATAAATTCCTCAATAGTTGTGGTTACCGATTAGCGATAGCTAGCCAATGTATTCATCCGTCTCACAATTGAAAGGAGTGGCCGAAAACGTAGGGGAATGTTAATGCACACTGCTCATATGTCCATATTTGAGCGGGGTAATGGATCATTTTTGGGAGCTCGCTTTCCCGGGGTTTGCTCCTTTGTTTGGTGGCTTGGTGCTACTACCTATAGGTATGATCTTATTATGTCGAACGCTTATTTCAATGTTTATTCAATACATAGTGCTAGCAGCACGACGACCATTATCCTTGATAGGGACGGGAGCAGACTGACGACTTTCCACAGTAGAGATGGACACAGCAGCACTGCGATGTCTTTGACATTGAAAAAAGTTGAATATGTCGTTGCGAAGATCCGTATTGAGTATCAGCAGAGAAAATGGCGGTATACTGACCATGACATCGTTTATCCAGTAATACTAAAAAGGCATTAAATGTGGGTATTGAGTAGGATCATCGCGGCGCACAAAATCCTCTAATCCTACTAATGCTCACAGCCCAAAAGTTACAAACTGCTAGCAGCTTCGTTCCAACGCCATTTTTGAATCGTTTTTGTATGTAGTACGGATCTTGTGCAAGGTAACATAAATGTTTGGAAAAAAATACTGTTAATCCAACAGCACTTAGGACCTGGCCTGAGATAGGGCAGAAACTGTTTGAAGTTGAAAGTTGCTAACGCTCTCTGAAGTTCCTCCTTCCCTGAAGTTCTAGTCTCAATCGCACACAACACGAAATGCCTGCCATTGTATAGAAAGTGTCGGGTTGTATACGCCGCATTGCCTCCCCCATTATAGGAATAAACCCCAATCCTCAGCTGACCTCTGCCCATATTCTGGTGTAAGAAATGCATCGCTGATAATTGCGCGG